CCACCGGGGCCTTGCTTTAGCGGTTCGCTCGGGGGGTGCCGGCGTTTTCTTTAGCACAGAGCTTGCTAAAAGACCCTTGCAGAGCTGCCGTGCCGATTGCGTGTTTGCCGGAGAGTGCTGGCAGTGATATTGCTGTGGGCGGGCAGTGAAGGAAATCCCCAAATTCTGTTGAAAACTCTTCCCCACATTTGGGTGGGTATAAAAGGAAGCAGCAATTCTGCCAGTTCTGCTTCAAGAAGTGTGGGGAGAGCTGCTGTGTGAGTGAAATGTGTGGGGATGCTGGTCTGTGAGTCTGAAGAATTTAAACGTGAATTTGCTGGCACAAATCGTTCCAATTTCCAGTTATAATGCAACGAATTTTCATTCTATATATAGTTCGTTAACATATCCATAGAGTGATAAGAACAGTTGTAGGGGAAGAAGTATCCTATTGTATTGTGATTGAGATGTGCTTGGTATGGTGGGGGATTTTAGTTTTTTTGGGGCTCCTATTCTGGTTCTTTTCAGTCTGATTGTTATGGGGCTTCTGTTTCTTATTTTTTGGTAAAGAATGTTTTTGTGACAAATTCTTGCTCGTTCTATTGCTTTTAGGCAAAGTCCTTCTGCTGGCTCCTGCCAGCCTGGCTGGCAGATTTAAATCTCTCTGTGCACACGTAGAAGCAAGCTGCAGGTACCACTGAAGGTCTGCAGACTTAGAGAAGGTAAGAGTTGGTAATTCTGCTGGTCTGATGTCTAACTCTGGCTCTGGGGGCCTAATGAAAGGAAATTATTTTGTCTATGGAGTCCCGAGGAACTTCTTTCAGGAAGTCCTGCAGAAAATTCTGTTGTGCCTGATCACGTCAAAAGATGTCGCACTGTGTAGGTATGGGATTGAAATTTAGAAGCAGACACTAAACTGGTAAAATAATTCAAATGTGTGGTATGGGATCTCAGGTGCTTGTGGAACAAAATCACTTTCCAGTGAGCTGAGAATTTTCCAGCCTTTGCTGCCTAGTTTATGCTGGGAAGTGTAGAAGGTATACAAATAACAAATAACTGATTTGTATTCAAATAAATTTGAATCGTTCTCATACTGTGTTTGATGTCCCAGGCTTGGAAGCATGGAAAGCCTCTGTGCAGCAAACAGCACTTTTGCTCTGGACCTGTTAAGAAGGCTGTGTGAGAAGAACATTGGGCAGAATGTGTTCTTTTCACCATTTAGTATTTCTTCTGCTTTGTCTATGGTTTTGCTGGGTTCAAGAGGTAGCACTGAAGCCCAGATTCGTAAGGTAGGTCAAAATAAAGTCACTGGATTGCATTTGATGGGATCATTTGAGGAAGAGATGTGTCTTGCAGTCTGTGACATGTCCTCGTGCTTAACTGTGATTGTCACTGTGGTGTGAGAGAGCAGAGCTCTTCCTCTGGGCTGTGTGTGTGTAAACAGGACCCGTTTTCTTTGGTTTTTTAGTGTGAGCTTTGTTAAGTACATAATGAAGACGTTTCTGGATTTATTATGAGTGAGTTTTTTCTGTCATTTTTTGAGACTGATGTTCTTTTATATGTAATTAAAATGTACTTGGAATTTTTTTACTTGATCCATAGGTGGCTACATAATTTTTTTTTCCTTGCTTGCTTGGGCTTATTATCATGTGATACACATTCTGAGAATGAAGCCAAGCACAATAAAATATTTTCAAAATCCCACAGTCTGTATTTCAGACTGGTAACTGCATTTTGATTTATTTCTTTATAAAAAGTTCTTCAGGTCGCAAATATCTCTTGACTTGTGTGTTATGTAGAAAGTGACAATATTAAGTACAGAACCAGTCCTGTTGGTTTGGATGTTTGCTTCCATTGCAAAGTAGGAGAGGAGTGTAAACTCATATCATGTTTCCATGTACTTCATAAAAATATCTGGGAAATCTATGTTGCTGCTATAGTTTTAGATACTCAAAATCCATCTGGACACATTCTGAGCTTCCAGCTCTAGGTGTCCCAGCTTGGGCAGGGCTTTGTAGCAGATTGTCCCCACAGGTCCCTTCCAGACTGAGCCATTCTGTGATCCTGTAGCGCTTGCCTTGAGGGAAGGAAAATCAGGGCTCATGATTCTGCTGCTCCCCAGTTTATGACTTGTGCAATACCTTGCTGGGTACATCAGATATGCCTTGCTTGTTAAGCTCCAGATGGGAGGTGTGCTGAAAAAATCTCATGGCTTCAAATTACAGAGTTTAAATTAAATGTTACTTAAATGTAATTTTAATATAAAAATGACCGTGCTGAAGCGAGAGTGTTTAGAGAAGTTAAGGACACTGTTGTGGATGTTGTCTTGGTGCAGGTGCTTTCTCTGAAGAATGCCCAGGATGCTCACAATGGGTATCAGTCCCTTCTCTCTCAAATTAATGATCCAAACACCAAATACATCCTGAGAACTGCAAACCGGCTCTATGGAGAAAAGGCTTTTGAGTTTCTTCCAGTAAGTAGTCATTAAATTTGTGATGATTCTCAGGACAGTGCACTTGCTTCCTCTTTCCTCTGGAGATAAAGGCCGGCTTTGGAGTTTGTTTTTGAACAACTCAGGCCTGAGATCCAGGAGTGCCATTGATTCTACCAGAGCCTGTTGTCTGAATTTGGTGGAGAATCTCCTTTAAATAACATGAGATCTGAATATGGCAAAGCAGGGTAAAATCCATGAGTGTCCACACTTGAGGGTTCTGTGATGTATTCATCTCTTTGGCTGTGGGACAAGTGGTTAACGTATCCCTTAACAGAAGTCTTATAAAGTAATTTATGAAATTTTATGTCATGTCCATGAAGCACAAAATAAAAACAAGAATGCCTGCCCCATTCTTCTCAATGAAGGGTAGAAGTTTGTAGTACAGTGCATAAGTCATAACAATATTGATTCTTTGTTTAAAGAAGTGGAATAAATCCTAGTAGGAACATGTCAGCCAGAACTTTAATGGCTCTGTATGA